TTGCGCTTTCGTATTTCGTATTGCGAAGTGTGCCGCTGCTGGCTGACATTGCCACATTCAGCCGCACAAAGTGCCACACTGGAGTTGCACAATGATCTTAATGATCATCGGCGACCCGCTGACCTCATGCACTTTTGTTAATCAAGTTACAAATTGGCCAATAAGCCGCAGAGAGCCGACCGGACACGTCCTAAAGAGCCATTGGCGGGCAATTTTGCGGTTGGCCAGAGTCCAAAATGCAAATGTCGGCCAAACCCACACACACACGTACAGAATGCCATCATGCATCCGTGTTCCCTCCTCAGAAGCGCATTAGTGTGGGTGGTCGAGTGGCATAACGATCTGCCCAATTCAGGCGGTATTATCGTAATTATATGCCGGCACTCGACCACCGAAATGCAATTTTTGAGAGCACTTTACGGCGCACAGAGCACGGCCTCAAGCTTATGGACATTTTTTAAGGGTTTCACTAACCAAACAATGTTTTTATTTAATAGAAACTCCCTAAACTATTTAATATAGTTCGACATTAAACTAAGCTGACTTGAATTTAGCATTTATGTTATAATAAATAGACTTATTATTTATGTAACGCAGCAATATTGTTCTTCTTTTAAAGAAACTTTCAAACTAATTTATTCTTTGTTTTTATTTCTTTCCTCTTATTTTGTGAGTTTTGAAAACCGTACAACTTATCATATTAGGATAAAGTTCTTTAAAATGTTATTAGCTCAGCAATAATATATTTATTAGAGAGAAATCCTGCTCTATTAGATCCTAAATTATTCTTGTCTTGTTCTAAATACACAATATACAATTAATCTGATTAGGATACCTTTCCTCGTTTGAATTCACAAATTAACTTAAATAATACTTATCCTGGCAACGCTGTTCACTCTTCACTTTCCACTTAACTTTCCATTCAATTTACCTGCAACGAGAGAGAACGAATAGAAACCGATGAGTGAAACATAAATCACACATAAAATCATTTATTGTATCATATATGGGCTGTAATTTCAAGCTCTTTTAGCAGAACAAAAACTTTCGCCAGACTTTCTCGTGTGTGGAATTTCGCAAGAGAGAGAGAGAGATAGGGAGAGAGGGTGAAAGGTGAAAGTGAGGCAAGCCAACCGCACAAAATGTGTACTTTTGATGTTGAGATTCGTGTCATCGCAGGTGGAATTTGTTGCCCCTGACAATTTTCCATTGAAAGAGTGGCGTACACACAACGAAAATCTAATTTATAATTTTATTTTAAGGAAATCTTTATACTAAGATAACAAATAAATTTAAATTTAAGTTTGCATTGAAGCTAGAACAAATTTATTTCCGGTAAATGCATTCAATATTCTATCTAAAATGTAATTTTGTTTTATAATATTTTTGGTGAGTTAAATAATTGTTTGCGTTAATAAGATGCTTAATAAAATTTTCCAACAAATTTTTAAGGATATGCAATAATTTAACAATTTATTGCAAAGCAGAATTTATTCAAAAGCGAAACCTTTTTCCCCCTATTCCCTTTTTCTTAGTGATTTCAGTTCTTGGGGGTAAATTCGCTGCCTGTTGACATGTCGCCAGGGGCATCATAATCACTTTGCAACCTAATGCCAGCCCACATCCATATATCTTTTTGGCCGCGGAGAGGCGTGTTCTTGTTGAAAAGTTGAAAAGTTTTGGCCCAGGCAGCTGTCGCGGTTCTTCCCGCTCGCAAATGAAGTGCTAAATTATGCTAAATGTGTGACAAAATGTGATTTGAGTGCAGATCAGGTGGCCCTTGGCCTCTTGCCATTTTATTTACACGTAACACGTTACGTTACACGTTACGTTATGCTATATCTCTTTCTATATATGCCTGGATATACAATATATACTACTTGGCTGTCGGAAAGGCTTGCTTGGCAGTCGATAATCTGGGCTGGTTGGCATCTATGGCCGCCATCATTTAAAGGACATCCTCACTGGCGTTTTGCATTACACTTTTTTTTTCCTTATCCTTGTCGCGAACAGACTTTTCATGTCGCATGAAAACAAATTACTTTCGAGCGAGTAATCTTGCGCGGTTCTCCCTGGGAAAATCGGGGGCAAATCAAGGGAAATCGCGGCAAGGCATTGAAATTGCGCTGGGAGCGAGTTTCGCTTGCGTCATGGCTTCAATTACAGCAACAGTGGCGAAAAGTACGCAACAGATTCCATGATTTCTCCACCTCCCTCCCCCTCGTGGTTTTCCCTATTTCCTTGATTTTTCCCCGATATGCGAATTATGTGCGCCGAAAAGTGTTCAATGAAAAGGAACTGAAGAACTGGCCGAGACCAGCAACGACCGGAGCCATCCATACAATCCATATAGAAAAGCAAGTGCTGCCAGCGGAAATTGAAAGCTTCCGTCGCGAACGTTCGCCGATAAAGAAAACCACTGACCCACCAAAAAAAAAGTAAGTAAAAACCAACCAACTGCAGGCCACCCATCCAACCACCCATCTCTCATTTTCCTCATTTTCCACGAAAATGAAATCAAAGTTGCGGCAAAAATTATTCCAATTTACTCCATGCCGTGTATGCAAAAACACTTTCGAAATAAGTTAACATTTGAATTACAATTGCCAAAGTTTGCCAAAAGAAATACTAATTTCTAGGAAATTAAATTAGGAAATTACAATTTGAGCCAATAATATGAATAATGGGGAAGAATATAAATAACTACATTGGGGTATATTCACTTTACTAAGAAAATGCTTTTATTTTATACATGTTATGTATTTATATTTTTATATTATCTATATTAATTAGAAAATAAATGAATTTTTAATGAAAGGCAAAGGCAATAATTAATATACAAAATGATTAGACAACAAAAACTTCATCTAATAGAAACCCTAATCCCAATAGATCGAACTTAAGTTATTCCCATCAAAATGAATGATTCATCGTTATCCTAACACTTTTCCCTTCATTAATCATTGGCTGCAATCTGGATAATTGCCCCCGGCAATATCGTCCAGTGCATAAAATGATTTTGCTATTTTTTTTTTTCGCTTACTCTCCCCATTTTCCTGGACTTTTCCCCATCCTATTTTTCCAGGCTAAGTGAATGAAAACGAAACTTTAATTGAAACGAACGTTTGGTGTGCGTTTTTGGGTTAAGTGATTGATTATGTCTTGTTTGCCATACACATGTAAACGTGCACGTAGCTACACTGAGCGAAATAAGTAACTTAAATGGTAAGGGGAAGTAGCATTTACAATAAATGAATGCAATGTGGTTTTGCTTGGAGGAATTTGTTAACATCTTGGTAATATACCCATTACAAGCTATTATCTCCTATTTTAACCTATTTCAACTCATATTTTTTTTTAATAAAATATAATCTTTTAGCAATTAATTGATTACCTGATTTGTTAAAATGAATCAATATATAGGTATTTATATTTAAATATTTCTGATTTTGTCGGATCCTTTTCTATTTTCATCTCCATTATTTTTTACTATTTTTTTTATATATTTATTGTTGCCCATTTTTTCTCCCTGTGCACACATTCGAGGAAACGCTCGTCGTCGCGCACATAAATTTTTGCCTGTCTGCTGCTGTTATGTTTGTTATTGTTATGCTGTTTCTGGGCGTGGCATCCTCCCCCGAGCACACGTACACACGTACACACAAACACTCAAACACTCACGCACACACGCACATTCGCAGGAATTGGAAACCTAACGTGACAGCCTGACAGACAGGAAGGTGTGCGTGTGTGTGTGTGTTTGTGTGTGGGCGGGTGGGTTGGTGAGTGTCTGCCTAGGGTGGACCCAAACCTTGACAATGCCGGTCGGCTACAATTCATTCAGACAAAAAGTTTGCCACAATAAAAACGAACCGCGCGCGAAATCGAATCAATAATTTAATGCAGGTGCTGCCTACGCCAGGTTTACTGCCATTTCCCGCTGATATATATATACATACATACATATATGTATATATATCTCGCACATATATCCCCAACCCCCTTTCAATTTCCGCTCACATTTCAGCCGACGGGCAGTGCTTTTGTCATTCTGGCCATTGCCAAGTTAACGTTGACGCACACAATAATAATAATGTCTCCAGCCATCGAACTTGACTTGTTTGCCGCTTGTTAAGGCCCACTCCTCATATTCCCTCCCCCTCGGAAAATTCCACCCGGCGATTGGCCACTTTTTCCGATACATGAGCAACTTAATCTGAGTGGAGAAACTGTATTCGGAATTAAGCCGTACGGCGAAAGCTGCCTCTGTGTTTTATGGATTTTTTAAGGCCTAAGTGCGGGCTTATATGCATAAAATATCAGCATTATACTCTTATGTGCTTTAATCTTATTTTCCTGTCGCTCGGGGCCAATTATTTACACATTTTCGTAGCTTGAAAAATGAGTGGATGTAATTATCTATTAATAATACGTTATATGTATTTTATTTATACTTTTAATGAGTTTAAAATACAAATTCTAACAAAATACCAAACATATCATAATTCCATATTTAAAAAAAAAAATGGAATTGCATAATTACTCTTTGAGATAAGATAATAGAGATGCCTATCTTTCCTTGTTTAAAAGAAACAGTTGCTGATAAATTACTTGCAACAAAAAGTCATTAAAATAGGTCAAAAAACTGAGGAAGATACGAACAGCATTGCAAATAATAACATTGCTAAATTGTGTTTCTTTCAAATTTTTTTTTGTTTAAGCAGCTGTTCAATTTTATTTTACAGCGCAGTGCATATCTGCGAGAACATGTTAACAACTTGAAGTATTTTATTAAATGCACATATGCATATATTCACATAAATATACATTTTTTGACCAAGCTAATTAGTTGCACATGATTGTACCAAGAAAACTGCACATTGTTTGTGTTTTTACATTTGCGATAGGCTCTGAATATTGGCAGTTGCACTTAGTAATTTCAGTTAAGTAGTTGCAGCAGAAGTAAATGAATTTCAGTAGACAATTTCGTTCGATTCGCGATGGTCTTCAATCAGCTGCGCATTTTTAGGACGCCTCTGCTCTTAGTTTTCGGCATTCTCTTCCTCTTGCTGCTCTTCCGGATAACGGGACCGCCACAGAACCCCTTTAACCCCAAGAACAAACCTCTGATCAAGAATGGTAGGTTTTTGTTATTCTTAAACAAAAATTGTACGAACCTTCTAATTAAACCAATGGTTATTTAAATTAAATTACATAAATATTATTGTAATATTATTGAAATTTTTATAGTACATCATAAGAAAGATGTTAAGTAATTATGATTAAATTTTTTTTACTTAAAATTACTAGAATATTTCTTGCATAATTGATAATCTATTTTATTTGGCAGAGAACTAATTAATATAATTGATAAATATTTCAATTCAATTAGCTCAAAATTAAAATCTTTAAAATGAATGCACTTTAATAGCAACAGCAGTTGGCTCCCAGAGAGTCCCGAAATCGGACCCCATCAGCAGGCTGGAGGATGACTTCCGGCCGGAGGAGGACACGGACTTGGAGTCGCTGCTGCGGGGCAACGAGGACGAGGGCTGGGCAAAGGGACCCGAGTGTGCTCCGTATCCCCGCTACGAGAATCTGCGCTTCCAGAATCCGTACTTCCAGCACACGCGAACCGGAAACCTGAGCTACTACCTGTACGGTGCGTACTACGACCGAAGACCCCGCCTACCGGAAATAGTCGTCCTCGGAATGGTGACCACGTGCACGGGTCCCTATCCGGAGACCCATCTGCAGATGTGGTTCGAAGGAGACACCCAGCCGGAGATAACACCTCTCCGCGAAACCAAGTTGGCCTGGTACTCCTCCTGGGGCCACAAACAGGGTGTGGGCTATCCCACTCTGCTAACCTTTCAGCTGGCAACCCGAAGGATTCCCCAGCTGGTGAGTTTGGTCTTTGGCAGCAGGTGTTCTGTGCCACAGAACGCTCTTCGGGTGTGGCAGCCTCCAGCTGAAGAGGCACCTCAACCAAATCGACCCCTGCGAACGGGAATCTGCGTGAAGTTCCTCCGCTTTCCGGACGAGGATCCCTCGGAGCGTTTGGTTGAGTGGTTGGAACTGATGCGAATGCTGGGTGCCAGCCGGATAACCGCCTACGACATCGGGGAGCTGCATCCGAATGCCTCGAGAACCTTGGCCCACTACACGAGTGCCCAGGATGGCTTACTCGAACTGAGGAAGTTCCACTTTCCCGACGAGATCAAGGGACACGCCAGATTTCGCAAGAGTCTCGTGGAAGCCATGCTCTACAACGATTGTTTGTACAGGAATCTCTACGATTTTGATTTCCTGGCAGTGGTGGATGTGGACGAGGTGATCATGCCGATGGGCGACTTCTGGAATTGGCCAGATTTGCTGGCGGAACTGCAGTCGCAGGACGTTAATTGCACCGCTCGCAGTGGCTACTGTTTTAGGAACGTGTACTTTCCCAAGGAACTGCCAGAGGATGGGGAAATCCCGAGGCATTTTCACATGCTGCGGCACGTGGTGCGGGTGGCCAATCATCTGAGTGCCGATTTGGCGGCCAAGTGCCTCCATAATACCGCCCATGTGACCGTGTTGCACAATCACTTTGCCCTGAGTTGGCGGGATGCCTGTGCACCGCAGCAGGTTCCCTTGGATTTGGGGCAACTGCAGCACTATCGACATGTGGACCAGCCGGAGACCTTGAAGGATCCACCGCCCATAAGGGATGCAAATATTCGGCGATTCCAGCAGCAACTCATACGCAACTCAATGGCTGTCCATCGGCAACTCGGTTGGGGAGCAGCGTATTGATTATGTATTTTAATTGCTTTTTCGCTTTTGTCGCTTTTATTGCTTTTTTTTGTTGCTGCTGCTGCTGCTTTTTTTTTTTTTTGGGTACATTTAAGAGGCTTAAATCGGTGGCCACGTGTCCTTCGGGCTACGTGCCGCCACCTTTTGACCCCGTGGCCACGTCAGCAGGATAATAATTGCTTATTGACAGAGTGCGGCACAAAAGTTTGCTTTTCCCATTTAGCTTAGTCGCAGCAAGTAGTTTTTGGGGCTCGACATTGCGGCACACGTGGGCAAATTATATACATTTCCTTTCATTTAGTAGGTATAACCTAGATATACCTTAGGAACATAGCTAGTTTTTACTTGCATGTGCATATTAAAAGAATTACCTTTTGAGGTACTTCGTAAGCCGAATATATCTGAATATATATTTGTTGGCAAATATTTTCTATTTTCAAAGCTGCATTTCAAATGTTTAGCTTTAGAGATAATAAATATGCTGTATTTAAGAACCATCGTATTCTTTTTGTAACTACGATAGCTGAATAAAACATTTATAATAAAATTAAATGACTTAATTGCCTTAACTGCTGTAGCAATTTATTTGTGGCTAAGAAAAACCTGATAACATTTAACTAATATAAATAAATAATATAAATATTGAAGTGATTTTGCACTTCAATTTTCATTTTATAAAACCTTGCTTTCATTTGACCTTTAAAACAAATCTAAATTGCATATCCAAATTGCCAAAACACATCCCATTGTTTAATAAATGCAAGATGAAGCTAGTTAATTGTCAGAATCCTTGCGGCATTTTCTTTTCGGCTTAATTAAACCGAATTTCTAGTTTCGCAAAATTCAATGACAAAAGAAGCCGCAGTAAAGAAACCACTTCAGATTTCCACACCCACTTTTCCCCCTTCCCCCATCTCCTTTCTCTTTCACTCTTATTTTCCATCTTGCAACGGGCAGAAAATTAATTTGCTTTACATTGCAGTTTCCAAGAGAACCGGAGAATTTATGCCAGTCTACTTGGGCATTTAAGACTTTTGATTCGGTCGTTCGGGGATTTCAAAGACCTCCTGTTGACAACAAAACAGCTTCACATTGCGTATACGCCCAGTATGGTTTTCACAAAACTATTTTTCAATTAGTGACGAATGAACAACGAAATTCTGTATTTGGGGCTCTGAGTTTTATCATAAGCTATGAGGTTTTTTGATTTGCAAGGAGAATAAACATATTTCGAGTTCAATGAAAGGCGGAAATTTTCAAAACTTAGCTGATAATTCTGCACTTGTGTTGTGATTTTTTTTAAACGATTGCTCTAAGCCTAAAAATAATTGGACAGTTCCCTTTCTTTCACACTTGCCGATGTCGCTCAAAGAATTTTCCTCGGAGTCGACAAAAGTTTCCCTTATGGCTTATAAAGTGCATACATTTCCTTTGAATTTTCTCGAATTGCGAATAAGCCCTGCGGTGCTTTTCAATCCCGCCTGCAGTAAACATTTTCAATTAGTGCGAAGTGTGTGTCTGGAAAATGGAAAAATAAAACTGAATTTAAGCCGGGATGGGGGGGAACAGCATAGCATTTTGCTGCCATTCTAACATGGCTTTTCAATCAAACAACTATTGGATTTCCACATTGCAAGGATTGATTTCTTTGATTTGTCTTCGGGGCTGAGAAAATGTAGAAGCAACTTGGAAAACTTGGAAAAGCTATATTAAATTCCGTACAATAACTGTAGTTTCATGCTTTCACAATGCTGACATTACTTTTCAATTAGTAATGGTTTAAAATTGAGCAATATTGTTATTTTGTTGTTTTTGCTATTTGATTTGTGAATTCTTATGAATTTAAAAGTTTGTAAAAGCTGACAAAAAGCAATCATAAATAAGATTGTTACCGAAAATTTAGAATTTTAAACTTAATTCTTCAGGAGAAGAAAACCCAAACGAATGGCAAACCTTGTTCCATGGAAAATGGTTTGGTTTTTGGTAATATTTCTTAAGATTTTCCAACATAGTCGTAAACAATCGGTTTCTCTAATTAATTGCCTTTTTCACTTGGTGGGAGTGGCTATTACAAGCCCATTCATTAAAATCCACACAACGACGTCGCAGAACGAAATTAAAATCATTTTTCACCGAACAAGTGAGACACAAAAATGCGTGCCGGGAAATATTAAAATATTAAAATGGAGGGGAAAACCTATGGATATGGCGTCTAGGAAACCAAGCTGACAAATGAACGTTAAGAGTGCGCGACAATTTTTTCATTTATTTTTTTCTGCTTTTTTTTTTTTTTTTTTTTGTTTTTGTTCATGGCGGCCTTTTGAATTTATTATGGAGGCGCTGGAGGGGGCGTGGCCAGCCCAGAAATACCCAGAATTGGAATGGCAAAGTGACAAATTGATGGCGGGGGGTGCTCGACGTGTTTTTATGGCTGTCTATTCTTAGGCAATATTCCCAAACAATTATCCCGCTAATAATGCATATTAAAATGTAAATGCCCATCCAGGTGGGCGGCGTTTGGCGTGGGCATGGCTGAATTCATGTCTGAATTCATGGTTAAATTTATGGCCAACAGCAGATGACAAGGCAGTGAATAATAGAAGATATACGCAGGCCTTCGAGCTGAAGGCCCTGATTATTGCCAGCCAAGTTACGACTTGGCCCAAATTAATGCCAAGATGGTTTCATCCAGCGAATATTTCCGGGAATAAAGAAGGAAGTGTTGCCTCGAGGCTCGAAAAACATTCCTCAGGATATTAAAATCCACTCTTGTATTTATCACATTTTTTTTGTTCTTAATTTAAAGTACCTATCATTAAAAAACCTGAGGACAATAAAAGTTTTCTCTGTTAAAAGTTTGCTATAATGCTGTACAAACTTTGGTGAAACTAGTTTGGTTAGCTTTTATTTTCAATTTGACAGTTTTGCCTACTTTTTTTGAGGGGAGCAACTTTTATTAGCTTTAATAATTAAATATATAACCATGTTGTTACATTAAATTTTACTAAAGTTTGGCTTTTTTTTAGAGTGATGTACAAATTTGTACAAACTTTGGTGAAACTATTTAAGTTGGTTTTAATTTTACATTTCACCGCGTAACTTTTTATTAGCTTCACCTTTTTGTTATTTAATATAATAATTTTTTTAATGAAGTTAAGGTATTGAGAACACTTTTATATGTCATAAAATATGATAATTTAATGGCTTCGATTGCAATAAAACACCTTTTCGGCTCAAGTGAGTTAATGGGCATTCCGGAAATACATTTAGAGTAAGCCCGAATGGAGGGCAGTTGTTTTGGCTTCCTTCTAAGATATCATTGTATTGGCTGACTTCCGCTAATGGGCCAACTTGCCAGCATTTTGGCAACAGTCACGCGCCCATTTTCGGTGTGATAATTCGAGACGCGTTCAACGAACGGCGGCCCTTCAACTGCGACTTTTCAACTCGGATTCGGATTTGCAGGACTCGTCGTCGACTTTTGGCCTTTTTTTGGCCGGGTCGGTTGGGGCTATAGTATTTCATAAATTTAATTGTCACGTACTCACATGGAACTGAGCGTGGGCTCCTACTGCTATTTGGGATGGCATATAATACGTGTTTATAACTCTGTTGCGCGATTTAGGCCATAAACGTGTGCTCCGTGACCTACGTGGCGTATACGTTACTTGCGAGACGCTAAATGATTTATTTACTGTATTTATTTAATCTATTTGACGACCCCGGGCATCCGATCTTGGCCCAAAATGAAACTCAAACTCTGCGAGGGCAAAAGGTCCTTTGTGAAATTGAGTTTCAGTCAGCCATTCAGTTATTTTAGTATTCTATTCAATTTAATTACCTTTGGAGAGGTCATAGCACAAATGGTTGAAAATTGAAAATTGTTTGATAAACAAGTTTCCATCTGTGTGACTCATAATCCGATTTATTTTTATATTTATTCGCATTATTTATTTGCTGCACATTTATTGCTGTTGACCAACAATTAATGGCACCTAATGTTTTATTTTCCCACAGATTACCATAAATAATTTAATTTAACTCCAAAATAAATAAATAGCATTTACTCTAAAAATACTGTGCAGTTTTAATACCCTAAATTAGTTGTTGCCTTTCCGTGTCATTTAGTTGTCCAGAGAATTGCACTCATTGTTGTTTGCTGCCAGAGTGCACTTTATTTTTTAATGCCTTTGTAGCTAAACAGTTGCCACTGGCTTTTCACTTTTCCCCGGGAAAATATGGGATGTCGCTTCTAAGCAGCGAGTGCTGCACTCGAATACTTGAATAGTCGAATGCGACACGCATCAAATCACTTTACTCGAGTGCACACTTAATGTCGCTTCAAATGAGCGCAGCTGAGCACTAATACATGTGCAAAAGGGAAAGGCGGATGTGGATGGGGATACGGATGCGGATGCGGATGTGAAAGCGGATGTGTGTGTGTGTGTGTGTATAGAAATTCCTAAGCTAAATGCAAGCGAATCGTGTCAAGTTTGACGACTAAACTATTTGCTGGTTGTCAACAGTTTAAAAGTGTCATGGCAAAATATGATTTACAACCGCCTAAATAACAAATAACCTTTTAAAATGTCAAGCTAAATGCAATACAAAAACAAAGCTCTGCGGTTACCTCAAAATCTTTACACTACCTTTGATTTTAATAAAATGAATTTCTGCTCAAATGCGTCATGTTTTTGGCAAACATTTCAAAAGCCTTTGAGAGCACTTGTGCATTTGTTAAGCATTCATTTTTGGGTTTTTGCAGTTGCATAAAAGCGAGAAATTGTTTGCTTTTTTTTTGCTGCAGCTTTCAAACGCTTTGAATACTCATATTTCTGTCTAAGGTATTAGTTAAAGCCGCTTTCCTGGGTTATTTCTGCTAAATATGTGTTTATGGTGTAACTTGTTGCTTTTATGAAAGCGAACTGATATTTGTGGGAAATACACATTTAACTCACTTTATTTGTCGGACATTTTTTGCAAACTTAAAAAAAGGGAATATTATTAATTAAAAGCAGTTCCTAACTTAATATAAAAAATTTATATTTTTATATTTTGAAAGTTTTCAGCAGTGTTTAAATGCAAATAAAATGGATTTTTAGCAGTTATTTTTTCCTTGTTTAAACAGCTTAAAAATATGTGAAAGCTTTTTGAACGAGGGACATTCAAATGGTCATTTGCAAATTGGCCATTTATTTCAAAGTTCGCTGGCTGCGGATTTCGCAAGGCCTCTCTGTCAGATTTGCCGTAATTGGTCGTGAAACCATTGAATAAATCCAGAAATACGACGGCTGACGGATGCCAAGTTAATTCCATCATCATCGACCATTCGGCCATAATATTTAACTGATTCCGGGGCCTCGTTTCGTTTACTTCGGCATATTGTATGTAATTAAAATGGACGCCAAAACGGGTTTCCGAGTTCTGGGCCAAAAAGTTTCGCAATAAAAATCCAGTTAATAAACTTTGCGTTGCTGCCGGCGCATACAGATACAGATACAGATACACAGAAATACAGAAATTCATGCAAGGCAACTGATAAATAATGTTAAGAAATGTTCTGTCTGTTTTTCGGGATTTTAATTAAATCGTTTTGCGAGCGCTGGTACAAAAAAAAAAAAAACAAAAATACAAAAAAAAAGAAAGGAAATAAAGTAAAATGAAAACCGAATTGAAAGTTTATGTCAGCGAAAAATGGCGGTTCTATCTGTCGCTCTGTGTGTGTTGATATGCGTGTGTGTGTGTATGAGTGTTAGTGCGAATGTGACGTCAAATATGTTTGAACAACTTTATTATGCAAAATGCCAAACATTCTCCAACTTGTAGACGTGGCGCTCTCGCCTCTCTCTCTCTTTTCCTTTCCCCCTGCCCTTTCTTTCCCCTCTCTGCTTTCTCCCCCTTCTCCACTTTCTCCGTGTCTGTGTGTGGGAGTGGTTGTGCGTGTGTGTGGGTGTAAGCAAGTAGATTGCTGTGCGCGCAAATCTCATTTGAATTATAATGATGACGCCACGCACACACACACACAGGGCAAGCAGAAAAAAAGAAAGAGATATGTGTGTGTGTGTGTGTGTGTTGTAGAAGGGTTGTTTGCTTATTCGAATGGGCTATATCCTTGGAAAATACCTCTTGGGCGACAAGAGGTCATTGCAATTAATTGTTAGGTAATTTTCCTGTTATCTAAAGCCAGTTAAAATTTTATGGTTATAGAAGAGGTATCTATAAAATTTGCATACAAAGTGGCTACTTTTTTTTTATAAATTATCTATGTATAACAGGCTTAATAATTTTTGTCAAAAAATGTCTTTAGAAATTCTTATTAGTTGAATACATTTCTTCTAATAATTAATACTCTGAAGTTTAAAATATTAAAGTAGAAGAAAATCTTGTTTTCTCAACTTCCAAATACGCTTAAATAATTAGTCAGCAGTCGATTGCCTGACTTCGATTCCTCTAAGCTGGCTCAGCGATTTCATTAATATGAAATGGGATCTCTTAAATATTAATGAGTTGCATACTCGGCTCCTCCCCAGTTTCCTCAGCTCAGTTTTCGTGGGTATCCGCTGGACGAAACTCATTCCCAGTCCCGATTTGGCCATAATACCCGTGAAATGTGCCCACCGACCGGCGTATGTATATATGTTAATATATGTAGCTATATGCTATATATGGTGTATGGTAAATGGTGTGTGGTACGTACCTGAGCAAGCTTGCGGTGGAAGCGGGAATATCAGCGTGGTGGAACTTTTGCGCCTGGCCACCGCGCAGCCCAAGGATTGCGGCTTGAAGCTCCGCAGCTGCTGCATGAAATCGGAGCACTCCATTAGGGCCACGTCCGCGAAATGCAGGTCGCACAGGATCTGGTTCTGCAGGATGTACGGACAAAAAAATCAACAACGAGAAATAAGAAATAAGAAACCAGTGTGTCGGTGTGTGAGTGTTTGAGTTCACTGGATTTTCAACGGATTTCTGCCTGGATTCTTGCCGTAAATGATTTATTTGTGCTACACTCATTTTTCTTTATTTTCCTTTTTTTTTGTGGAGGGTCTCATATGTAATTTTGATTAAGCCACTTGCCGTGCATCCGTCATCCGTAATGAGTTCGCCTTTATGGGGCCAAAATGGGCGAATGCATTTCAGATGAGTTCAAATAAGTACATTTCCCCAATTGCCAATTATTTTTGCGATTTTCCCGTACCTCTGGCACTTCCTTATTATTTATTGTTGCAATCTCCGATACGAACAAGCTTGAATATTTTTTTAATTGTGTATTTATTTAAGATTTAGCAGGCTTAAGATTTTAAAAGGATTTTTTTTCTTTTGAAGCCAATTAGTATACTCGAAGTACTCTTGAGATTATTGTTACGAATAAAAAGAAAGTACAACGACATCATTCATTGTTTATTTATTTCTGTGAATCTTAATGAGACAAGCATTTCTCAAAGCTGCTTTTTTGTTTCAATTCATTTTGGATGAGTTGCTTTCTTAAGAAAATAAAAATAAAAGAATGGCAAGCTTTTCAGGCTTTTATAAATCTTTTTTTTATAAAGAGCAGTATGTGAATGGAATTCTGTTTCTAAATTAGTACCATAATTTTTTCTGAGTTCCTTAATTTAAGCTGGTATTTTGTTTGCATATGCAAAAGTTTCGAGCAAACCACATTCTTTATTATCTGTGCTTTATTATAAAGCCAATCCCTAAATGGTTTCGTTAATAAATTTCTTGAACGCATGTTTTAAATCTGAGATTAACCTAGATTGCCTGATTTTTTAACGACTTGACTTGCAACTAAGTAATTAGGCTATTTTCTCTCGATTTGGAATTCACTTACCTTGAATCTCCTGGCCCTCTTTTGATTGGGCCCCGTCAAATTCAGGCCGCAGGAATTGCAGCGCAGGCACTCCTCATGATAGTGATTGTTGTCGTACAGCGGCGATGGTTCTGAAAAAAATGGAAAAGAGGGGAAACGGCGCTCAGTTTGATGGGCAAATCAATTCATCGGTGGCCAAAATGCCAGGAAACCATAAAGCCAGGATGCCAGAAAGCCAAAAACCTAACAGGAGCAGCTAGCCAGCTGGCATGCCCATTAATTTGCATAACCATCGGCATAATGTGGCTGGAATGGCAAGTGGAGGGAAAAGAGAGAAAGGGGGCGTGGCACCACCCACTTCACTACATGCCACAACATGCACCAGCTGGCAGCAGCGACTCAATTACAAACGGAAATGAGTTTCTAATACAAGCAAATTGCAAAAGGATAGATATGCCAGCAGAAGGGGCAAATTGTTGCTTGTCGTCTTGATGAATGGCTGTCGACGGGTTCGCCTCGCCCTCTTTATACCCTCTACCTTCTAGATTTTACCCTCCAATCCCCCAGCCTTCAGCCAACTTTGGATGTCATAATCCATCTGGACCCAGCTGAGGAAAACTTGTCTTAAGCCACTTTCTTAGCGGTGCGAGCGGTGAAAAATGGCTTTTAAGCTCTGAACTAAATTCAGATGACGTATGTTAATTTAACTTGAATTGAATAAATGTGTTATAGAAGAATGGATGAATGGAATGTTCATTAGATACATTTTTAAATGAGTAAAGTATATGCAAATTATAACTTTTAATTTTGGAAGTACAACTTTTGCTGGTGTTGCCTGGCTTACTAATTAGTGGTTTAGAAATATGAATACTTATAAACTTATTTAAGTGCTAGTTTCGAAAGTTATAAAATTCTTGGGTAATTAGCCTACAGTTTTTCTTTATTATTTGTATATGTTTGGTTGATCAAAATCCAGAATGTGCAACAATGTATAAATTCACCAGATCTTATTATACTCTTTGTATTTTTATTTGTTTACCCAAAGTGTTTCATATTCCCTCACACTTTTATGGAGTGTGTGTTTTGGTTTTTTTTTTGGGGGGGCTCTGACAGGCAGGACCTAGCAATCAAGCGACTGTAATAAGGAGCACGTGTGCGTGGCTTACACATCCTTTCGCAGGACTCGGTGTTCGGGGCTCGGCACTCAACTTGCCTGACACCGGAAATCATAATTAAATGAATCAGGCAGGCGGAAACACGTTATGAGCCAACTGAAAGGAATGGGAACACAAACTGATCACCGCCGTCATCGTCATTTCATCGTTTCATTATTTGATAATTTCCATCACATTTCCATCGCATGAATTTATTTTTGAATAGGCACACACAATTTGGTTTTGGTCCGAAAAGGGCTTCTCATTGTGAGTGGTTTATTCAATTAAATCATTTGGCAGTGCATATCGAAGCCTTTTGTTTCCCAATATCGTTGCACTGGGCGTATACTTAATATTGTTGAATTGCTTCTGACAAGCGTGAAAATGTGAGAATGTTCTTCGCTGATTTGCAGTCCAATTAACCCTCAGCGCATTGTTATTCCCTTGAAAATATTTATCGACATATTCGGCAGTTACGTGTGTGCAGTAAATATTGTTTTCGAATTATTTGTGAGCATAGAAATGTTATTTTTGATTTAATTATTAATTTATACTTGACTTCCCCTTTTGTTCCGATTTATTCTGTAGTTTTAGCAAATGATAAAGGGTTACAATTTAAAAAAGAAATTTACTATTTTTTCTCATAGAAATACATGCTTAAAATTAGGACTCCCCATATAAATTCAAGCAACAAATATTAGCCAAAACTCGCTTAAAACCGCATTTGTCTAACGAGTTCCCAGGAATTTAATTCCCTGACTCGAAAATGAAGGCCACTGGCCGTGGGGCAATCGCATTCATAATTCCCTTGGATTGTTTGGCCGAACTTGAATTACTTTTGGCTCTTTGGATTCGCCGGCTTTCGATACAATCGAGGCGCCAGGAAGCGAGAAAGTTGGCCATTCTGAAAGGGAGAGAGATGCCAGGAATTCCTGGCCACTGCGAATGCGGGCCGAAACTTTACGCATATTTTTGCATTAATGAACCACCGAAGCCCACACTCATTTTTACCCCTGCATTTGCATTTGATGGCGGCATTGGACCGGGAGCTCCACCTAATTGGTCTGCTGGCCCCCGAAAAAACTACGCTTTGAAACTAATGCAATGAATTTCGAGGAGGCCAGCAGTTTCGGACCTCTGGCAAAATGCTGGCGATTCGCTGCAGCAATCTGCCGACTGAAATCTGCCGCAAATTGCATTGTCAAGTGCAGGACAAGCGGCCGAAATGAGCAGCAGCACAAATGGCCAGGACACTCAAAAGCTCTGTCATTCGGCAGGGCGCAGGTCATGGATATAACTCACCTGGAGTGCACTGTGCAAAAAAAGCAGGAAAATTAAAAAAAAATATTGGTATTGCTTGAATATTTCTATGTTTGCTGGGAGTTCCATTGGTAGTTCTACAGCCGATGAACTACTTTAGCACTCAGCACATTTATAATCTGGTTAAAGTTAATTTTTGTTTTAAGTTAGCGTTGCTCATTATTATAATTCATAAAAATCTAATAATAAGTAAAACAACAGATAAGATCAGTAAAATTTTTATAGGAATTTTAGGATATATTATCAGTATTACAGCACGGCTTAAAAATGTTCCAGATATTTAGTTCATCATATTTTAGTTTAAAAAAGGCAATTTCTTTTGACGTTTGTATTATTTGTAATCTCTTTTATTTTTAGATATAAATGGTTTTTAGCTAATAAATTAACAAATCAGCAAATAAATGACAACATTTCTTTATAGAATATATTATTTATTTTATCATTATGGTCTCAATATCAGGAGTTCTTAATCTTTAAGGATCATTATTATGCACAATAATTATTATGCATAATGCATTATTTAAATAATTTTCTCAGTGTACTGCTCATCACCTCATTTCTTTTCGCACAGCACGATGCGACCCTCGATTGTTTGAGTTTAATGGACCATTAAAATGGGGAAAACTATTTACGCTGCTGGCGAATTTTAATCAGGAGCGTGCTACAAATTTGACTAATTGAATGACGACAAAATGGAGACCCATTACCTCGTGGGGGAGGAAAAGAGGGGGCTGGGGGTTGACAGCCAAGTCAGCCACCTCTTTTCCTCGATTCGAGACGAGCTCTTCATATTTTATTGCCCCGCCTTAAGTTGACTTTAGTCGACTCGACTTGACTTGGCTTCCTCCTCCTTTTCCCATTTCCCCGTTTCCCCATTTTCCATTTCCCCATTTGCTTTTATGACAGCTGCCGCATTGAAAACTTTGCATCTGCACTTTGCAGCTGCCCGCGAGGGGCGGTGGAGGGGTTAAAAAGAGGGCGTGGCAGGATGCGGGTGTATAATATAAATTCATGACTTTGATAAATTACCAACTAATGACCCAAAAGAATGGCAAACTTCTGGTTTTTAGTGCAGAAATCAAGCGTTAACTTTTCGACTTGGCTGCAAATAGAGGCAAGGGCTGCTCCTCGTACTTGGAACTTGGCTTTTATTGTATGCCCAGCCAGCTTTTGGGGGCCAGTCCGAAACAATGGCTGCTTAATGGCTCGTGACAGGCGCTCTTAGCCCCCTCGCACAGCTGCGGCCACAAAACTAGATCTAAGGCCATAAAAATACTTGAGAAACATGTAAGTATTTAATATATTGCCATAGGTTTTGTTTACTTCTCTCTGCTTTCAATAAAGAAATTGATTTATAAATTATGCAAATAGCAATAAAGTATTAAACTGCCTATTCTTTCTTATTTTCCATCATTTCAGTTAATGATTATCTTAAATAGACTCTAGTTTGTCCACTTTGCAATAAAGAAAATATTTAATAATGAAATTGTTTATATAGTTTTCAAGTAGCTATTCATTATTATTTTCCATCACTTTTTCTTTGAGAAACTATTGTTTGTTAAGTGGCTTTTCAATGAGGAACTTAATTCAAAAATAAAAAAGTTATATTGTTTGCAAGTACCTACTTATTATCAGTTTTTATTATGTCTTTCAAGTATAATTTTCAAGAGGCTCTAGTCTTTCATTGCCTTGTTTTTTTCATAAAAAAGTCAATGCAGAAATAATGAAAACTGCAATATAATTTACAAGTACCTCTCATTAGTTTTTTTCTTTAAGAGACTTGTCTTTTCTTCAATAAAAAAATTTAAATTGATTTAGTTTACGAGTACCCAGTGATTTTTAGCTTTTAACATTTTGTTCGAGTAACAACTTTGGGAGACACTTGAAATATCATTTAATTTCCCGAGGAGTACTTAATTTCCTATTATTTCCACCGAAGCTGTGTCGCATCCTTTCCCCAAAGAAAAGTGCGGTGCAAGTGGCAGTTGCGAGACAAAGCCAACCGACTGAGGAGCAGAAATTGACTGCAAATGCAATTTGTTTAGAGCAATAGTTGCATATAAGTAGCTCCGCTGCGGCAAAGCGATGCAGGGGATGGAAGATAGGAAGGGGGGGGCGGGAGGAAAACTCGGGAAAATCCAGATGGAAAGTGGCTGTGGGGGATGTGCAGCAGCTTAATTGAGCGTAAATAATATTGGACCGGGGATAGTGGCACATGAGCAGCCACGGATGTTGCACAGAAACCAGTCAACTTCAGTGCACTTTCATTAAAATTACACAGTGGGGGGAAATGGCAGGAAAACGGGGGAAACTCGATGGAAATTTGCCTGTTGCCGGCTGTAAGTTTTCCTCACTGCCAGTGCAATGGCCTTTGGTTGGCTTTTCTCGGCAACAAGGAAACCCTTCGATGCAACTGTGCTAATCAATTTTCCAACTTTTCGCCAGCCACTAAATTATCTCGCCGCAGAATTCTAAGCCAATTGGAAGTGAATCCAATGCAGTAAAGTTATTTTGCAGAAAAGGCAACTACATAAATAATTTTTAAATGTCTTAAATTAAACTTAACTTCTTTAGTAAGTTTCAAGAAATTAATTTAAAGTAGTTGTACAAAACCGTAAGTAAGTGAGAAGTATAAATTTAAGTAATTGTTATAATTA